AATCAACTACATTGCTCAGGTCTATGGGGGACATCTGGTCAAAACACTTGCTGTCATTGGTCCAGACCATCAAATTTTTTTGATGGAAGACAACACTCAATCACACATGGCTAAGCTCAGAAAATCCTTTCTCCAAGACAATCACATAACCACCATTTAATGGCTGCCTTAGTCACCCAATTTGAACCAAACTTGTGGAAAACCTTGAAGACCACAATCATCAATCACTACCAACCCAAGTCCTGCAAAAATATGAAGGAGGCCATTCAACAGGGTTAGGACAAAATTCCAGCAGATCATCTCAAAAGTCTTGTAAATTCAATGCCCAACCAAATGTGCCTGGTTGTGGAGGCCTCTGGTGGGCCAATGAAATATTAATATTTTAATATTTTACTTTTTTACTATTTCATAATTGTATTTCATAATCATTACCTCCTGCATCTCAGCTACCCCCTCCACATTTTTAGTAGGGGGTTGGAAAAACAACTCCCAATTACAGTTGTCAGACATCACTTGCAGGGAGTTGTTTTTCCAAATGAATGGCCAACTTTGGGAGTCGGCTCCCAAAACCACCCCTCATACTTGAGGGGGTTTGGCAGTCATTCCCACCTGACCGTGAGGAGTTCCTTCCGGTCAATGGGGTTGTTGTTTCTCATTGACCCAAAGGAAATACTTCCGTTCAATGGGTTTGTTGTTTCTCATTGACCCAAAGGAAATCCTTCCGGTCAATGAGGTCTCATGACCACAAGGATTCAGCCATCAACTTTGACTCAGAGCGCCACCATGGCACCTGTGAGTACTAGGTGTGATTGGATCTCAATCCTCAGTTTGAGATTGAAAAAACATGGGCAGTGATTGTGACATGCCCACAACCAATCCTAGGGTGTGTACAAATTGGACCTTTGTATGTATCTGTTTGTTCATTTAATCTCACTGACTGGAAGGAATCCCCTCCGGTTGATGAGGTTGTTGCACCTCATCAACCCAAAAGAAGTCCCTTCTGGTTGATGAGGTTGTTACATCTCATCAATCAGAAGGAATTCCTTCCGGTTGATGAGGTAGTTGTACCTCATCAACCGGTGTAAGACTCAAAAAGTGGTTGTAAGACCCTTTTTGCTGAATGGAGAAGGGGATGATGGATTGTAAGCTCTGCCCTTCTATACTATCAGATAACAAGACCCACCAAGCTCAGCTTGGTAAGTTTGAATCAAGTGATAGGGTAAGTTCAGGAATGAGTTTGTGTGATGAAGAGGTTTGATTTGGTGTGTAAAGTGTTTGTGTAAAGGTGGTCAAATATTGCTTGAGTGTTACTTGACTGAGGGTACAACAACTGGGAGGAGAGCCTCCGTATATAGACAACAGTGAGGGAATTTAGCTCCAGGGCAGCCAGTAATGAGTGATTTTGGCTGGCCTGGGCTATTACATGAGTGGTTTTTAGCGACATACAAAATTTGAATGAGTGAATATGATTGGTCAGACATGTACAAGAGTTGCAGTGGTGAGCCAAACAGCTGAAAGAGTGGTTCTAATTGGTCAGGTTATGTGGTGTTTACAAGTAAATGTGATGGTGTAAGCTGAAGCTGTCATGCAAGGAAAATACACTAATTAGACTGCAGGTATGATGTAATATGTAGAAGTGAAAGAGAAATAGCTGTATGTAATTTTAAATGAGTGTGTATGTAAATGTGGGGTTGTACTGTACTGAGGGTGTCTGTGTAGCTTGAGGGTTGTAATTGGGATTGGTGACATGTAATGATGGGTGAAATCCTTGTGATATGTTGTCCATTGTGGGGTAAGTGTTGATCATGTTGTGTTCCAGTGACGCCTCTGTGGTGACCAAGGGTGAATTTATCCATAGAGTTCATTGCTTGAGCCGTATGGTGTGATTTCTGATGGATAGTGGATGATAATATGAAGAAAACATATCTATAAGAAAAAAAAGAAAAAACTTTGAATTTTAATATTTTTGCCTCCTACACCAGTCAATGAGGTTGTTGTTTCTCATCAACCAGAAGGATTTCCTTCGAGTCATGTGGGAGCAACACCCAAATCCCCTCAAACATGAGAAGTGGTTTGGGGAGCCAACTCCCAAAAAATCGAAATAAAAATGGATGGCTGACTCCCAAAGTTGGCCATCCATTTGGAGGAACAACTCCTAAGGGACATCCTAGAGATCGTTCGTCGGTACCCTTTGCTAGGTACCTAGTACCGCTTGGGGGGTACCGCCCGCACCCGCCAGGCAATGCCAGGTGTGGTGCTGGGTGCCGGTTTTTTTGGAAAAAAAGGGGCGGTACCCGGGTACCGCTACGGGTACCGCCCATCCCCATTTAAATCTAGCTCGTCGGGAGGAGACCCTCCCGATGAGCTGAATTGTTTACCAGCTCATCGGGAGGGAAACCTCTTGATGAGCTGATCTTAAGCTCAACAGGAGGAAACCCTCCCAATGAGCTGGACCGTGTACCAGCTCTTCGGCAGGGTCTCCTCCCGATGAGCTGGATTGAAAACCAGCTCTTCGGGAGGGCATCTTCCTGATGACCTGGATCAAAAACCAGCTCTTTGGGAGGGCATCCTCCGGATGAACTGGATTAAAACCAGCTCTTCGGGAGGGCATCCTCCCGATGAGCTGGGCTAAAAACCAGCTCGTCGGGAGGATACCCTCCCGAAGAGCTGGTTTTAATCCAGTTTCTCCGGGGGGAGCCCTCCCCAAGAGCTGGTTTTTGCATCCGGTCATCAGGAAGATGCCCTCCCGGAGAGGTGGTTTTCACTCCTCCTCATCGGGAGGACACCCTGCCGAAGAGCTGGTACAAGCTCCAGCTCATTAGGAGACTCTCCTCATGATGAGCTTTAAAAACGCTCATATGAGGTTTGAATTCCACCAGGATGAGGCTCCAGCTGCACGAGATGGGCATGCTCTTTCCTGAGAGACAGTACCGAGGACAGGTAGCCAGTAAACCGTATTTTCGGAACATCACATGCCAATGGGAGCTTCCAGGACATACTTCTAGGCGATATTTATAGTACTAATAGTGTTTCTCAACCTCCATACTTCAGGGTAGATTTTTGGCGATGC